ATTAGTCTGGAGAGAGCTCGTCTCTGTTCCATATGGGATTGTTTGAGTTCACTGACTTGTGCTCAGCTGGCAAGCACTGGCAGTGGTTGCCTTTCAGGAGGGTCAGTGGTATTGAGCTAGACATCTTGGTCAGCTTGGGTCACTCTAACAAATCACCAGAGTGGCTGGCTTTAGATAACAAATATTCCTCACAGCCCTGGAGGCTGAATGTCTGAGATCAGATGCACATATGTCAGGTTCTTGGTGGTTTACAGAGGGCAGTCTTCTTACTGTATCCTCACATGGTAGTGGAAATGTGAGCTTTCTCTCTGGCCACCTTGTTTTTTGGTACCAAGGATCGAACTCAAGACCTGGTGCTTGCAAGGCAGGCACAACATCACTGACCTAAATCCCCGCCCACTCTGGCCATCTTTTATAGGGCAGTAGTCCACTCATGAGGACTCCACCCCAATGACTTAGTCCCCTAACCTAGGTTCTACCTAACAAGACCATTACATTGGGGATTTAGGATTTCAACGTACCTGGTGGCTGGAACAAAACACTCAATCATAACACCGGACCTGTGCCATTCATCTACCAGCAGTTCAGCTGTGGTTCCTTCATAAGATGGCAGTGGCAGGAGTCTCAAGGGAAGCAAGACAGGGCTAGGCCTATGGATAGAGGCTTTCCAAGATCCCTGATGGGAGATTCCATCCTGTTCATTCTATAAGATCTTCTCTTCCCTCCCTACCCCTTTGAGTTTTGCTTAGGCCTACGGATTTTGGTGTCTAGGTGTGGGCAGTGCCAGTCCTGGCACATAGATCACCCTGGAGCCACCCACACACCTATCCCAATGGCCACTTCCTGGACCTCTGGCTGCCTTGAGAATGTCTGGAATGAAAGAGGCAGAAACTCCAGCTCAGAGTTTAACTGGGAGAATGATAGTGGGGTAGGGAGAGAAGGGTTAGGAGGGAGGACAAACAGGACCAAGCAGTGTTTGGAATGGGATCAGGAAGGGAGCAGTGTAAGAAACATGATCTTTTCTGTTCAAAAATATGAACAAGAGAGTTTCTCCATCTTAAACTCTAGTTCACTGTAGGCTGCTCCCTCCACCATTTTTTTTTTTTTTTTGTACTGGGGATTGAACTCGGGTCTTTGCGCTTGCTCAGCAGATGGTGAAACCACTGAGCTATATCCCAGGCCCTACCATTTTTTTGAGCACACTGAATTACAGAAAATGTTTGTTTAGTTTAGATTCCAGGAACACAACATAGATAAAAGTCAAAGATAATTTATCAATAGCCAGGGACTTTCTGTCCCCCATACTCCCACTCTTCCTTCCTTCCATCAACTCTGCCCAGCAACCCCTCAGGCCCTCCTTTCACCCTGCTTTAACTAGTCAATCAGGATAGACTGTGAACCTTCAACCCAGCCAATGGGGAAAAAGATCAGGTGTTTCTTGCCCTTTAGAAATAAAGAGAGACTGCTGTGGCCTCTCTGTGCACCTGCTACCTCACGCTAGAGTGTGCTCACACCCTTCTGAAGAAGTAAAGCTCTGCCTTGTGGAGATTTCTTGGTGTCTGAGTGCTTTATTATCTACGCTGACAAATTGAGTCTGGGGGCATATTCCCAACAGCAGGAAGCAAAGATGGTTCTGGATGGATTCTACATCTCCCCAAAGATGTCTGGGCTAGTGGGGACATCTCCCTATGGTCCTATCCTGCAGCCTGCATGGGGGCTGTCTTGTTGGCCTTCCCAGCCTCCACTTAGCCTTCTGCTCTAGAGACCAGTCCTTTTCAGCCTGGCATGCTTCCTCTGCCATGACAACCACCACAGAAACCCTCAGAGTGCCCACCACTGTACGTGAGGTGGCATAATACTAGCCTCCTCAGGTTGGGGTTCAGGTGCTGGCCTTGGGGAGCAGGCCAGGGGAGCTGAGAAGCAGGCTATGAGCTCTATTCTCACCTGTGTGCACAGATGCTGCTCAGAGGCACAATGCTGCTGAAACTTTTGCTCATACATTTTACTCCATCATATATTTTTATTATTTGCTGCAGCTATTTATTTGTACTTTTGAGAAAATAAGAAATGAGAAAAATTTCCTGTTTACTATAAGACATTTGTTTCCTTGTCAGACCCAAGGAATGAAGTTAGAGGCATGAAGAACAGTGAAAGGGAGGCTTTCTTATCAGTTTTTTTTTGGTACCAGGGATTGAACTCAGGACCTTGTACTTGGGAGGGCAGGTGGTGGCATCACTGAACTAAATCCCTGGTCCTCTTACTGGTTTTGTAAGGCTGAGTGTCTGTCATGGGGGCAGACACACCTATGGCAGTTACAGTGAGTAATTTATCTTTAGTATGTAGGTCTTTTTTTTTCTTTTTTTCATTTTTTTTTTATTGGCTGAGTACTATGGGGTTGCAGCCTGTTTCAGATGTTGTCTAAGTTTTATTATTTTTTTATAAGGGAGTTCCCTGGTCCCCCTCCCAATTTGAGTTTCAATTTTTTGTAATATTATCAGTTTTTGGCCAGGGATTTAGCTCAGTGGTTACACTGCCTGCCTTGCAAGCACAAGGACCCGAGTTCGATCCCTGGCACCAAAAAACAAACAAACAAACAAACAAACAAACAAAAGACTGTCTTCCCTGTTTCCCTTACTTCCTGTTCCTGTGGTACCCTGGACGGAGACCTGAGGTGATGAAGATCAGTGGTGTGTTAGTCGTGGTCCTCATGGTTTTTGTGTCCATTCATGGTTTAAAAGATGGTACGCTCATGGGGTGTTCTCATTGAAAGTTTGATCAATTATGAACCGGAAAATTCAGACGTCTGGGGTTCCTTACCAATATTGTGCTATATTCAAAGATCATTTACATTAAATTATTCGAAAAAGGTAAAAGGTGATAGTCGTGACGAGTCCAAAAAATCAGCCAGAAAGAAGAGCTCAAAGTCACGTGAAGCGAAAAACTCAGGGACCCACCCAGAAGGGGCAGTAAGCAATATTGCAGGACCATATCCATTTTCTCCCTCCTGGTTAAGTATGGAAATTTACCTGTGAATTCAGGAGGGAGAGGCAGCCACACTGACCCCGGAACTGTGGCTCCTGAGGACCATCCTGCCTGTTGGAGAATGGGCTAATGCCTATGGATTTCATTTTCTATCTGTTTTAAAATTACCATTTTAAATTTCCTCTGCAGTCTGTATTTATGAACATTTTGGTGTGTGTGGGAGCGAGAGCTTTTTCAGAGTTTAAGCTTGTAATGAAGGAATTTTTTAAAATAAAGATTTGAAATTCTTAAAAAAAAAAAAGACTGTCTTGATTTAATTAAAAAAATATTATCTGGTTTTTGTTTTTTTTTTGGTACAGGGGATCAAACTCAGGTCCTATCGACAAGCATTGGAACCACTGAGCTAAATCCCCAGCCCTGTTGTCTGTTTTTTACTTTAAGAGTCTTTGAAAGGGAGATGTTCCTGTTTAGAGACTTCATGTGGCCTTGTGGTTACTATTTTTTACTTTGCCTCAGCTATCTTATCAGGAAAATAGACTATTTTATGCCTCTCCTCTTGTTCCCCACTCATGCTCACATGTCTCAACAAAGGCTTTCTTATTAGTTTATTTCTTCTTAAGGTCCTGTTTGCTTAAGGATATTTCAGATGTATCAGTTTTGTCCTGACTGCAAGCTGTTAGGCAATTTTAACTGCTAGTAATTTTTCACTCAGAATTAACTACTCTGCCTTGAAAATGGATCAGTTTAAGTTTCTATTCCTTACAATTTTTTTTGCAATTTTTTTGATTTTATTTTTATTTTACCTAGATATTTTTTGGCTTTCAAATTGTATTAGGATTTGTTGCCTTTTTTTTTGTCGTAAGAGGTCGAGTTTGGAGCCAGGGATTTAGCTCAGTGGTTCCGGCGCCTGCCTCGCAAGCACAAGGTCCCGAACTCGATCCCCGGTACCAAAAAAAAAGAGGTTGAGTTTAATCTGACCTCTAACAGTAGTAAATTATTCTGTTGGTATGTTACAGACATTTGTTCATTCATTTATTTATTTATTTATTTATTTTCAGTTTTTGTTTTTTGGTACTAGGGTTTGAACTCGGGACCTTGTGCTTGTGAAGCAGGTGTCAGAACTACTGAGCTAAATCCCCAGCCCTCAGTTTTTTGTTTTTTGAGGCAGGGCTTCACTATGTAGTTCAGGCTGGCCTTGAACTCACACACCAGGCTATTTATTGTTTTTAATCTTCTTTTTTTTTTTTGGTACCGGAGATCAAACTCAGGACCTTGCACTTGCGAGGCAGGCGGCGGAAGCACTGAGCTAAATCCCCAGCTCTATTGTTTTAAAATTAGTTTTTGGGTTAATACTCTCACCTAGAGAATAAGGTAGTACTACACTGAAGTTAAGACTTTTGTTATGATTATAAGAGAGGTGAGGATTGAGGCTATTTAAAAAAATTGTTTTAGGCTTTTGCTACCTTGTGGCTGCCAGGAACAGTTCTCCTCTGTGAAGCCCCTATGCTAACCCACCCTGCCTTGGAGCCAGCTGATTATGGACTGAAACCTCTACAAACTGGTTTAGATTCAGGATTTGTTCTTAGTGTCCAAGACCTTGACAAGATACTGACAGAGGCTGATGCTTACCTACAGATCTTGACAGAACAACTAAAGAAAATTGAAACTCTCAAGGAGACAAAAAATAGCATGGTAGAATCAATTAAACACTGCATTGTGTTGCTGCAGATTGCTAAAGACCAGAGTAATGTGGAGGAGCACACAGACGGACTTAAAAGTACTATTAACCCTGTAGATGCAATATATCAACATAGTTCCTTGGAGCCTGTGATCAGCACAATGCCTTCCCAGACTTGTTCTTACCTCCAGAACCTGCTCAGTTGTGTAAATCAGAGCCGTGTCCATCTTCCCCACCCGTTGGGGCTGTGTTAGCTAAATAGTACAGTCCCAGAGTTCTTGTACTCTAGCAGTGAATATGAGTTCCATGATGCGGATGGATTCCATCAAAGCAGCTCATCCACAAAGCGCTTTATAGATTCTTCTGGATCTGCCTCAGTCTTGACCCACAGCAGCTCAGAAAATAGCCTAAAGTGCCCAGACATCACAGAATCACTGAATTCTTCCATGTCCAGTGGAACAAGTGATGCTGACCTTTTTGATTCACATGATGATAGAGATCAATGGGGAGGCAGGGTCTGTGGAGGAGCACAAGAATGTCATCATGCACCTCTTGTCGAAGGTTAGGCTCTGAATGGATTTTACTAGGGTAGTTCTTCCAACATTTATTCTTTGTGTGTGTGTGAAAGTAAAACTTTTTATTCTGATTTCTCAATGTATAGGTCAATATAATGGCAGTTTTTAATGACAAAAATTTGGTTCCACTGAACCTCCATAATGCTACAGAGAGCTACTACGTTTTCCAGGAAGTAGGTAAACTCCTGGAAAGAGAAAGCACACTTTCTAGCAGCATGGCAACTTAAACCACAGACCCGATAGATCTGTAACTTTTACACTAAAACGAACATGTATTAGCTGGTGACAGAAGTGAGAAAAGGGGAACAAGACATGAACACTGAAGGACCCTAGTTAGCAAGACAAACACCATATTGCTGCTTGACCCACCTGCCTGTCCTTTAGATGAACTCAGAAAGAGGAAGCTTAGAAACCTCCTCCCCTTAAAGGGTCCCTTTAGAAATAACAATTAATCAACTATTGTTTTACAAATGTTCTAACAGCAGGATGTTCCACTGTACCTTTTGCTTGCTTTGGTAGTTCTATCCCATAGGGAGGCGTAGAAACTGTTGGCCTCAAAGGTGTATAAAACATGTTTGTCTCCCCCCTGTCGGGGCTCGAGTCAGATGCTCAGCTCAGGTCCTGGCCGGTAATAAACTCCTGTGTGGATTTAATATTGGTCTCTGGTTGGTTCTCTCTCGCTAGGTCTAACAAACACCAAAAGGTGCACTATGTATGCTATAAAGACAGACAAACCAAATACATCTATAAGGGTTTTAAAAGATAATTACAGAAAAGGAAACCAAGCATTTTACTCAAATGTTTTTTTACAGCCTTTCTGTAGAGATACATATATACATATTTATCCAAAAATATGTTTTATACAGATAAATGTTTCTCAATTAAAGATGGGACCAAACCTATAGTTATAACATAAAGCAGTCTTTTGTAAGACTATCCACCTGAATTTTCACTTTCTTTAGAGTTAGTGCATTAGTTTTCCAAATATAATTACCTGACATCATTTTATAGATATAAATCAAGTAGGCATTGTCTTTTATTTTTATTAATTAATTAATTAATTTTTGGTACCAGGGATTGAACTTGGGACCTTGCGCTTGCGAGACAGGCAATGGAACCACTGAACTAAATCCCTGGCCCAGGCATTGTCTTTTAAAAGGTTGTGCAGGATATTTCTAAGATTCTGTGCATATCAAACTTATGACAAGTCCCCAATAAGAATCATTATGGGGCTGGAGATTTAGCTCAGTGGTTCCACCGCCTGCCTCACAAGCACAAGGTCCTGAGTTTGATCCCTGGTACCCCCCCCCCCCAGCAAAAGGGCTATAAAAGTTGGATTTTCCTTTTGCATAGTAAATATTTTGTGATTACCAGTTGTTAAGTATTGAAAATGTACAAGAAAGATTTTACTTCACAAGTACTTTTACCTTAAGATATTTTGTTTGTTTGTTTGTTTTGGTACCAGGGATCAAACTCAGGACCTTGTGCTTTCAAGGCAGACTTCGGAACCACTGAGCTAAATCCTCAGCCCAGTATGTATTTTTTTTTAAGTGGGAGATTAACACTAACAATCACTATGTATAAAACAAAGCACACAATTATTTTGGTGATCTTACAAGTTGCTTTTTTCAGGTGGAACATTTATTCTTGAAAGATCTCTTTTAGAATGTATGCAGACTTTTTTGCATATCCGGACCTGTTTGTGAGCATTAGTGACCAGAAGGATCTCAGGGATTCAATGGTTCAGGTCATGAAATGGTACCTCTCAGCCTTTCATGCAGGAAGAAAAGGATCAGTTGCCAAAAAGCCATGCAACCGCATTTTGGGTGAGATCTTTCAGTGTCACTGGACGTTACCAAATGACACTGAAGAGAACACAGAGCTAGTTTCAGAAGGACCTGTTCCTTGGGTTTCTAAAAACAGTGTAACATTCATGGCTGAGCAGGTCTCCCATCATCCACCAATTTCAGCCTTTTATGCTGAGTGTTTTAAGAAGAAGATACAATTCAATGCTCATATCTGGACCAAATCAAAGTTCCTTGGGATGTCAACTGGGGTGCACAACATAAGGCAGGGTTGTGTCTCATGTCTAGACTATGATGAACATTACATCTCACATTCCCTAATGGTTATGCAAGGTCTATCCTCACAGTGCCCTGGTGGAATTAGGAGGAGAATGCAGTATTAATTGTTCCAAGACAGGCTATAGTGCAAACATCGTCTTCCACACTAAACCTTTCTATGGGAGCAAGAAACACAGAATTACTGCTGAGATTTTTTTCTCCAAATGATAAGAAGTCTTTTTGTTCAATTGAAGGAGAATGGAATGGTAGAATGTATGCAAAGTATGCAACAGGGGATAATACAGTCTTTGTAGATACTAAGAAGTTGCCTATAATCAAGAAGAAAGTGAGGAAGTTGGAAGATCAGAATGAGTATGAGTCTTGCTGCTTTTGGAAGGATGTCACTTTCAATTTAAAAATCAGAGACACTGATGCAGCAACTGAAGCAAAGCATAGACTTGAAGAAAGGCAAAGAGCAGAAAGGAAGGAAAAAAATTCAGTGGGAGACAAGGTTGTGCCAGGAAGATGGAGAATGCTCGGTTTAAGATGAACCATTACTGAAACATCTTGGTGCTGTGAAGCATTAGGTTGGGAAATGCCAAGTTTATACCTGATGACCCAGGTGGTAGCTATGCCTAATGAAGTAACAAACAATCTTCCCTTGGGAGAACTTATTGCTCCCTTCTTACTGCAGTGGTTCCTTCTCAGGGATACTGGACTTTCAGATGAACAATTAAAGTAGGAAAAGCTGCTTTTTTCCTCTGGCAGTTATAATTTTGACTAAAGCCCTGAGAAAAACCTTCGGGTTTTGAAACAAGATGTCTTCTCTTTTCCAAATCCTGTGCTTTGAAAAGCATTTATAAACCCAAATCTCATACTCTGCACTCTAGTTCTGCTTTTAAGATATGACAAAGTCTTTCCTACTTTATGTATCACACACACACAAAGGTACACACACACACACACATAAACAGATACACCTTGATGGCAGGTTTTTCATAAATACTCATCTGTAAATACTAGCTCCTCGGAGTTGTTTTAGAAAATTAGTGCAATTATCAAAAATCAAGTGTTAGGGGCTGGGGATTTAGCTCAGTGGTTCTGCCACCTGCCTCAAAAGTGCAAGGTCCTGAGTTTGATCTCTGGTACCAAAAAAAAAGAAAGAAAGAAAAATCAAGTGTTAGAGAATTTAGTTATTTCATCTATAATAACTTTTATTTTACAATTGAACTATTAAATTTATCTAAAACTGGAAAAAATGAAACAAAAAAATTTAAACCACTCCTGTATTTGTCTGGTAAACAGTACATCAATTTTAGCATTTTTTTGGTTAGTTTATTGGCCAAGGTCATTAATTTTTGTAAGGCCTTTGTAACAAACAGTTTTATCAGGAGTTGTATTATTGGGAATAAAGGTACATTTTTTACCCAGCAGGACATAGACTTTTTTTTAATATCTAGTGTAATTTTACTTTTTTATGCCATCTGACTGATGGTATCTAGTTGGTTACTTTATTTATTTATTTATTTTGGTATCAGGGATCAAACTCAGGACTTTGTGCTTGTGAGGCAGACACGGTGCCACTGAGTTAAATCCCTGGCTAGTTGGTTATTTTTTTGTAGGACATTTTTGGTATAGTTGATGAATCTCTGTTGATTATAATATATTAATTTAATTTATATTTTATTAATTGTGGACCATCAAGAGAGTGTTGATTTAAACTGTTGGTTTTTTTGTTTGTTTTTGTTTTTTGTTTTTTGAGGCAGGGTCTCCCTTTGTAGTTCAAGCTGGCCCTGAACTCACTATATAGCCCAGGCTGGCCTCGAACTCACAGTGATCCTCCTGCCTCAGCCTCCTGAGTGCTGAGATTACAGGTGTGCACCACAATGCCTGGCTCTAAACTCTGCTGCTATTTGATTTTTAGTTTTCTTTTTCTTTTTTTCTCTGCTACTGGGAATCAAACTCAGGACCTTGTGCTTGCAAGGCAGGTGTGGCAACACTGAACTAAATCCCTGGGCCTTGATTTTTAGGCTAGAACTTATTAGGGGACTTTTAGTGGATCAATATATATTTGAATTAAAGGACCTCATTATCAACACTTTATTTTTATGGCTGTCCTACATTGGAGCTCTTATGAAATGTCAGGATGAAGAGGCTAGGCAATTGAACTGAGACACAAGTCCCTGTCCAATTAAACTGTAATCTATCAAACAGGCTCTTTTTTTTTTTTTTTTTTCACAGGCAGGAGGTACATGGAAGGCTGAGTAGTTTTTACTGTTTGGCTCACCGGTAACATTAAGATGTTGACATAGGTCATCAGTTCTCCCACAGGTATGTTGAGCCTTGTTTCCTGTCTAGAGAGGCAAGAGCAGTAACGTATAATTTTTACTGAGGAGGAAGAGACCGTTTTTGCATCTGACCTTTGTAATAGGGGAAGAGTGGTGACAATCTGTCATATGTCTCTTTTTTTTCCCCATAGTTTGGTTTTGGTAGAAGCCAACATGGAATGCATCCTTTGAAGGTCAGTGTCCCAGCTGAGGGGAAAAGGAACCAGCTGTCCCCATGGGCATCTAGCCACCTGTGTATAGCAGCTGTTTTCATTAAGGGCTTGTATTTAACCCAGGCTTTTGTATCTTTATATTTAGTTTTTAGTTTTAGAGTTTATTTATTTATTTTTTTGGTAACAGGGTAACAGGGATCAAACTCAGGACCTTGTGCTTGCCAGGTGGGCGAGGTGCCACTGAGCTACATCCCAGGCCCCTGTTTTAAATTTTAAACTTTTATTGTTTTTATTTTTTTAGGGTCATTATTGGATGGCCCCAAATGCTTTTTAGGATTTGGGGTAGCCCCGACTGGGCTTACGGCTGAAATAGGGATTAAGAGCCAGTTGCTCTAAAGGGTCTTTTTGTGTGTGTGTGAGGTCTGTTCCTAATCTATACACTTGGGATATCACCTTGGGTTTGTTTGCTTGCTTGCTTGCTTTTTTCTTTTGGTTTTTTTGAGACATGATCTCACTATGTAGTTCAGACTGGCCTTGAATTCACTATGTAGCCCAGGCTGGCCTCGAACTTGCAGTGATCCTCCTGCCTCAGCCTCCTGAGTGCTGGGATTACAGACATGCGCCACCACGCCCAGCAGTGATATGTTATTTTAGAGTTTGGTTTATCTTTTTTATCTTTCTAGAAAGGGGGGGGTGTCTCATGGAGTATGATAGTACCAACTAATGTTTAAACTTTTTAAAATTTCTTGTAGCACCTTTGAGGTGAAGTGACTGTCATTGTTTGAATTAATTTTTTGCGGCGGGGTACCGGGGATCGAACTTGGGTCCCTGTGCTTGCGCAGCAGGCATTGAAACACTGAGCTAAATCCCCAGCCCGAATTAATATTTTTTATTAGGCCAAATCTAGGTATAATTTGTTTTAGAATTATTTTGGCCACATTACTTGCAGTGCGAGTCAAGAGAGGGAAGGCCTCCACGCAGCCAGAGTGATGATCAATGGATAGGAGTAAATACTTTTTATCTTGGGTAATCTTTATAAAGTCTACTTGAATACTCTGTAATGGCCTCGGTCCAGGAGGTCTTTTTTTAATAGTGTGTATTTATTTATTTATTTAGTTATTGAGACAGGATCTCACTATGTAGTTCAGGCTGGACTTGAACTATGTTGCCCTGGTTGGCCCTGAACTTGCATCCATCCTCCTGTCTCAGCCTCCAGAGTGCCAGGATTATAGGTGTGTGCCACCACACTCAACAGACATTAATTTTTTTTTTATTATGGGTTTGTAGGGATTAGATTAGAGGAACATAAACAAAAACTCAGGGCAAAACCTGGATGACTAACATTGTAAAATCATCACATGCTTATCTGTGGATGATGACTGTAAAATCATCACATGCTTATCCTGTACCATGTGCTTGAGAAAATGTACCCTACTGTATCCTTAGGAGAGTGTTACTCACATTTACTGTAGGCTGACCTTGCCCCTTCCCAGAAACCAAGGGTAAGATCCTGATCAGCCTAGACCACACCAATCAGTGAAACAGTTATTTTTAGAAACCTGTTTACCCCTATAAATATGAAGTACACCTCAAACTCACTGGGCATCCACAGCGGGATGCCCCTATCTTATAGCACTACTCTGTTGCTAAGATAGCTTTTTTGCTTTATCTGTATTTGTCATACTTTACATAAACTTTGCTTTGTACCGTATTAGTCTTTATTCCCTCATTTTCCCTGATGAGAGCCCCACTTCTTCATTCTTCGCTGGAGTGAGGGCAAGGACCCAAAGAGAGGTGAAGGATCATTATGGGGACCCCTTCCACTGGACACAACAGGCTTATTTATCATTTTCCTCTCATTAGGTAATGTTTATTTTTGGATTTTAGTTTGAGTGGCCCCATATTGTTCTCTTAAAATCAGTTGTTTCCTGGCTAAGCGCTTTTTTTTTTTGGTATGGGGGATCGAACTCCGGTCTTTGCGCTTGCGCAGCAGGTGTCGAAACCACTAAGCTAAATCCCCGGCCCCCATATTGTTTATTTAATATTTTTAGTGAACTGGAGCCTTAATGTTAATACTTTACTATTTTTTTAGGGAGGCTTGCTTAGTGGCCTCATCTGTGAGCCTGTTTTTTATGGCTTTATGGACTTCCCTTTCTTTGTTTTTTTTTTGGTACCAGATCGAACTCGGGACCTTGTGCTTTCGAGGCAGGCGCCAGAACCACTAAGCTAAATCCCCGGCCCTACTGACTTCCCTTTCTGATGGTAACTTAAATGAACTATAGACACCTTCTCTGGAAGTAGGAGATTGGTTAGTACTTGTCTAATTAACTTTTCATGTGTTGGTTCCCTTTATTATTTGTAAGGCCTCGCTGTTTAGATTTTGTTTGAGTGTGTACCACTCCTAAGCATATTTAGAATCAGTATAAATAGTGTCTTTTTGACCTTTAAAAAACTTTAAGGCCTGATTGAGAGAGCACAATTTATAATTTGAGTTGACCAGCCATTGCACAATCTACTTCCCCTACATAATGTTTCTTTTAAAAATTAATTATAGCATAACTATTATGCTTTTTTTTTTTTTTTACTATTATGCTTTTTAAGAATTATTTGGGAATACCCATCTATGAATAATCTGATCTCATCATGGAATGGAGTTTCTCTTAGGTCTGGTCTGATCTTGGCTTGGTGTTTTATGATGTCTAAGCAATTGTTTTTTGGGGTTTCAAGGTTCCCCTTTCCCTTTCGTATAAAGCTGGCTGGGTTCAGACAGCTATCTGTTGTGTGATCCAAGTCATGTTTTTTAAAAATTTATTTTTTGAACAGAACAGCTTTACGCTTTAGTATCTGAGAATCTGTTAACCAGTCTTTAGCTTTTTTTTTTTTTGGTACCGGAGATCAAACTCGGGTCCTTGCGCTTGCGCAGCAGGCAGCGAAACCACTGAGCTAAATCCCCGGCCCCAGTTTTTAGCTTTTTGATTTAATATAGTCCTGATCTGAGAGTTTACTATTAAGGGCTCGCTAAAAGTCAGTTTTTTTGTTTTCCTCAACCAGTAAGGTAGCCTCTGCTTGAGCACATTGAGGCCTGCAGACACTGGGTCTAGAGATGAAGGCAACAGGGTGCCTTTTTCCTTCCCAAGTTTGAGTCAGGAGTAGGAGAGTGTCACATCCTTGTCTATGGTAACAAACAAGTGGAGCAGTTTTTTTCAGGATGGGAGGACTAGAAAAGAGGTTGTGATGAAGGCCTGTTTTAGTTTATTTACACCTTGAATCTTATTTTGAGGACCACCGTAAAAGGTCAGGTTTTATTTGTTTTTTGAGATAGGGTCTTGTACATAGTTCAGGCTGGCCTTGAACTCACTAAGTAGCCCAGACCAGTTTTGAATTCATGGTAATCCTCCTGCCTCAGCCTCCCAAGTGCTGGGATTATAGGTGTGTGCCACCACACACCAGCTTGGTCCCAGTTTTCAAAACTTTTTTTTTTTTTTTAAAGAAGGAACATAGGTTTCAATACTGGTAACCAACAGAGAGCATAATTTATTTCTTCTCATGAGGATGGGGTCTCTCACTAACATGCATAATTAGGGCTTGGCACATCCAATCCTCATCAGATCCAAATTTGGGTCAAAAGACTGAAGGTTTGTGAATTGGGCCTTTTGGCCAAGAAAAACAGCAACAATTTAATCATCCTCTGCTTTTTCTTTTCTTTTTTTTCTTTTTTTTTTTGGTACCAGGGATGGAACTCAGGACCTTATGCTTATGAGGCAGGCATGTCACCACTGAGCTAAATTCCTGACCCTGCTTTTCTTTATCCTTGGTATGAGGGCTAACATTTGTTCCAGTGGACTATCTGGGGGTAATGTCACTGGGACAACCTTTTCTCCTTTTATTTTCCTAGGACCCAGGCCTAGAATTCTTATTTCACATTCTCAGTTGGTCTTTGTGAATACATTTCTCTGTGTACTCCCCACCCACAATGGAGGTTTCTTGTGTACCCCAAGAACCACTTCCCTGTGTACTCACTTCTGCTAGAGGTTTCTCGTATACCCCGAGAACCGCTTTGTCTGTCTCTGGCCATTTCCCTCACAGGAGAACGAAATTGCAGATCAGGACTCTACACTCACTTCATGTGTAGGACAGATCTTAGTCACATACACTCAACCTCCAAAAATGCCCCAACCACCAACACAGAATACAGTCCAGTTTTTCTGCCTTGGCTCATGCATGAGGTGGCCTGGTTGCTGTGGTGCCTGCTTTATTTTCCCTGTGTTGGTTTCACTGCCTTCAGAACAGTCTTGGGTTTTCTACAACTTCCACAAGGAGACAGAAAACCCAGGAAGATTGGGCCATGGGGTGTGATGAGTCTCCTTTGCCCCTGGGACCCAGTCCATGCAGGCACAGAAACCCTGAGTGAGCCTCCAATTGCGAGAAATGCATTCACTTGCCCAGATCCAAGGAATGGACTCATTGGCATGAAGAACAGTGAAAGCAAGGCTTTATTTTTAGTCTCTCAAGGCTGAGTGTCCACTATGCAAGCAGGCATACCCCGGGTGGTTACAATTTAGATAACAATTTATCTCTAGCATGCATGTCCCTTCTCCCAGATCCTCACTGGCTAATTACTAGGGAAAGAACAGGCTTTCCTGAGTGTCACCTAAGTTTTATTATCTCTTTATAAGGCAGTTCCCTGTCCCCCTTCCAATCTGTTTGGATTTTCTCATATCATCTGTTCTTTACTTTGGGATTTTCTGAGAAGCAGATGTTCCTGATTTTATGTGACCTTGCAGTTACTATGCTTTTACTTAGCTTTAGCTATCTTATCATGAAAATGGACCATTTTATGCCTCTTTTCTCCCTTCCCCACTCATACCTACATTTCTCAACAAAGGCTTTCAGATTATTTCTTCCCAAGGTCCTATTTACTTAGAGACCTTTTGGATATATAAGCGGGGTCACTTCTATAGGCCACTGCTGCTACTAATTTTCCACTCAAAGTTAACTACTTTGTCTCAAAAATGGACCATTTTTGGTGGTGCATGCCTGCAATCCTAGCACTTGGGAGGCTGAGGCAGGAGGACTGCCACGAGTTCAAGGCCAGCCTTAACTACATGGTGAGTCCCTGTCTCAAAAAACTAAAAAAAAGGGGCCAGGGATTTAGCTCAGTGGCACTGCACCTGACTCGCCAGTGCAAGGTCCTGAGTTCGATCTCCAGTACCAGGGGAAAAAAAAAGACCATTTTAAGTTTCTATTTCTTATATTTACTAACATATTTTCCACTTCCTGCACCCTTTCATCTTGTAGAATTGCATTTCCATATTGCATCACTATCAGCCTAAAGAAATTTCCTATAACATTCGTTATGGTGCAGATATTTGAACACATTTTGCTCAATATTAAAATAGTAAAATATATATAACATAAAATTTGCATTTTTAGGGACCTGGGGATTTAGTTCAGTGGTTCTGCCGCCTGCCTCACAAGCACAAGGTCCCGAGTTTGATCCCCGGTACCAAAAAAAAAAATTGTCATTTTAAAGTGTACAATTCAATGGCATTAATTGCAATCACAATGTTGTGCAAGAATCACATTCTGAAACATTTTCATTATAATCTAAACAGAAACTTTGTTGTTTTCAAGCAAGTTTCCCACTCTTCCTCCCTGGAGCGCCTGATAAATCTCGTCTACTTTGTCTCTAAGATTTTGACTACTCTAGATTTTGACTACTCATATATGTGGAATCACTCAATATTCGTCCTTTTATGAGTGGCTCATTTTATTTAGCATAAAGTTTTCAACGTTTATCCACATTATAGCTGTATCAGAATTTCATCCTTTTAAAATCTGAATATTGCATTATTGGTATATAGCACATTTTGCATACCATTCGTCTCTGTATGGCTGTTTGCATCCACTTAGTTATTACCAAAAATGCTGCCATCAAGTATACAAACATGTTTGAGTGGGTACTTTACCTTCTTTTGGGTGTATACTCAGATGTGTCTTCTCGCACTGAGCCATATCCTCAGCCCTATTTTGAGACAGGGTCCCAATAATTCGCTGAGGCTGTGCAAGAACTTGCGATCCTCCTGCCTCAGCTTCTCAAGAGTGCTTGGATTACAGGGTATGCGCCACGAAAGCTGGCTTCCCTTTTTATTTTAAGATAAAGTCTCACTAAATTGCCCAGGTTGGGGTCGAAGCTGAGCTTCTCTTGCTTTGGCCTCTAGTAAGCCACCACGCCCGGTTTACATTTACTTTTTTGAGGAGCCTCCATACTGTTTCCCTCAGCACCACTTTTTAAATTCCCAAGGGCGCACAGGGTTTACACGGGTTTTTTGTTTGTTTTTATACCGGGGATCGAACTCACGAACCTGTGCTTGGGAGGCAGGCGGCGGAGGCACCACTGAGGTAAATCCCCGGCCCTCTTCTCTTTCCTCTTTTTTTTTTGCTACTGGGAATTGAACTCAGGGCCTCTCTCTTGCCAGGCAGGCGCTGTGCCGCTGAGCTACATTCCTAGCCCGGGTTTACACGTTTTAACACCTGTTTCTCTCCACAAACCAAAGTCATGTCTTCGGAGGCTTGAACATATCCCCGGCTGTTCTCTTCCTTTCTGGCAGCAGCATGAGCGTCAACAGAACCTCCTGGGTCCAGGGCAACATCTACCAAGACCATCTCCCACCAGAGAGAAACCAGCGCTCGGTTCCAAACCAGACTGGAGCTCAGGAGGTGCAGAGCGGGAAGGACCCGGCGCTCGGCTCTAGGAGCCACCACTTCCTGGGGCTCCCTCGTGACGTCACCCCCGCTCGCTCTGCGCTGCCTGGCCCTCGCCGGGGTAGCCGGGGCGAGGGCGCAGCTCTGCAGCCAGCTGGCCACCGGTGGGAGGTAACCTCGGCGCTTTCTGAGCTTCGCCGTCCCAGCCCCGCCCGCAGGAAGCAGTCGCGCAGTGATGACGTCGTGGGGGCCTGGCCGGGCGTCGCGGACTCCCGAGATGGAGGAGAAGGAGCAACTGCGGCGACAGATCCGCCTACTGCAGGGTGGGTTGGCCGCGGCTGGGCCTGGAGCGCGCGTCCCCTTCTTTGCCCCTCACCTTGCTGGAGGGCTCTCCGCGAAGCCGTGGCCCTGGCCCGACGTCTCGACGGTCGGCTGGCTGTGGCGTCGGTAGGGCCCGGCGGGGTGGGGCCACTGAGCTTCCGGTGGGTCAGGGTCGGTCCTCGGCGGGGCTTCGGCGGCGGCCAGCAGCGGCCTTCTGGGCGGCGGCGGGGCGGGGCGGGCCGTTTGCCTTCCCCCGGGAGGTTGCGTCCGCCCGCCCCTGCCTTCGCCCCGCGCCCGACAGCGGGGCTCCAGTCCCCCGGCTGGTGCAGTTCAGTTGGGTCGGGTTGGATGCCCTTTCTCAGTTCAGGCACACCCCCCTCTGATTCCAAACTGACTCCCCAAGCCCCAGCGTCCCCCTTAAAAATTTTAGACCTAAGGTGGCCTTTCCCTTTGTAAGCATTAAGAAAACAAAACAAAATCTTTCAAAGTTATTCCCACAAAGAGAAGTTAGGAACACATGGAGGAGAGTCCAGGTGGGCTGCTCCCCACTTTGGGACCCTTCTTGGACTTACCTCATGCTGGGTCTGAGGTGTGGCTGGTCTGGACCTGGCTCTTTGTGCGAGTGGACTATGGTGGCGGTGTTGAACAGGGGAGGGGGGTTGCCTACTGGTTTGTGTGCTTTGTGCCCCAGGACAACCAGTGGGGGCTTCTCTGAAAAGGATGGTGGTGGCGGTGTCAGGTCTGTCTTCTGTAGAAGATAGTGTCATGGCTGGCAGGTCACTAGCCTGTGTGCCGAGTGTTCTTTTCTCTGCTGCCCAGTGAAAGTGCCATAGGTGCTACTTGTCTTACACTCAGTCCAGATGATTAAGGTGTAACCCTGCATTCTTCCCACCTGTGGGCAAGCCAGAGGGTGACTCGCTCTGTGGTGACTTGTATCTTTTGTCCAGGGATCACAGCTTGGGGACTGGCTTGCCTCTGCATATGGAATGACACTTTCCCTCAAAGAATGGTGGACCCAGTAGGCCAGCAAATAGAAATCATTACACCTGACGTCTGTGTTTTCAGGATAAGCAGGGGAAAAAAAGATTGAAGTAGAACTGACAGGCAAAAGGTTCAAGAAAAGACAGGCCTATGGGGTTTGGGCTGAATGGTCTGTGGTTCCCATGCAGGAGTCTGGATACATGGAGTCTGGGGATATTTTGCCAGTTGATGTCCTTCCAGGGTAGTTAAGGTTGTTGCTTTTATTCACATCCCTGGTTAACTGAGCTGTGATTCTGTCTTCTCAGGTTTGATTGATGACTATAAAAATCTCCATGGCAGTGCCTCTGCACCAGGCCCCTCAGCTGCTTCCGGATGGCAGCCACCAGCTTACCACAGTGGCAGGGCCTTTGGTGCCTGCTTCCCTTGCCCAAGCCGGAGGGGGTTCTCCTCACACCATGGGCCTGAGTGGCGTAAGAAATATTCCCTTGTGAACCGGCCCTCAGGATCCTCGGACCCAGCTGGCAACCCTGCTGTGCAGGCAGCCCTTGGGGCCAGGGGTAGCCAGGCCCCTGACCTCCAGCAGTGTGTTTCTGAGAGACAAGTCCAGCTAAGTGCCGATCAGAACATGGTTATCAAAATCAAATCCCCATCAAAGACTGGTTCTACTAGCACTTCACAGGCCCAACCAAGCTCTTTGGAAGAATATGAGGATACCCCCTGGAGTGACCAAGGACCTCAGGAAGCTGAGGGTGAGCCCGCTGGTGGGCATCTGCAGCCTTCAAGGCCAGGAAGAGCCAGGGTGAGCTGCAGTGGGGAAGATCCACTTCTGGTCTGCAAAAAGGAGCCTGGCAAGCCCCGGGTGGTGCAGTCTGTGAGCAGTGTGAGTGACAGTCCCCCAGAGCCCCGGAGGACAGTCAGTGAGAGTGCAATTGCTGTCAGGGCACACTTCCCATCTTCTACCTTGCCTCCTCGAACTGGTGTGGCCCTTGGCCAGAAGGTAGGCCCTCATTCTGCAACCAGTTGTTTTGGGAAGATCCCAGATCAGCCAGCTCCCTCAGACTCAGTGGTGGCCCCAGCCAGACCAGCCTTAGGACCCAGACAGGCCCGGGAGCCTGAGCTGCTATTGTCTTGTCGAACCAACAAGTTCCGGAAAAACAATTACAAATGGGTGGCCACCTCAGCAAAGAGCTCCCGGGTTACTCGGAGGGCTCTCAGTCCCAGAGCAGCTTTGGAAAGTGTGAGCAGGGGTGCTTTTGGCTTAGGTGGAAAGACAGAGAAGTCACAGGCCAGAGCCAGCCCAGAGTCCAAGCCCAGGAAGCCAGCTGTGTCCTCCAAGCCTGGGCCCTGCCCCAGCAAGTACAAATGGAAAGCCTCCAGCCCTTCTGCTTCCTCCTCTTCCTGCTTCCATTGGCATTCAGAGGCTGGCAGCAGGGAACATGCCTCTCAACTCTCCCTAGTCCCATCTAGGTCCCCCCCACGGGACAGACCAGCAGTGGGACCTAGCAGCTTGAAGCCCCTCTTTGGAGAGACCCCACTCTCGGCTTACAAAGTGAAGAGCCGCACCAAGATCATACGGAGGCGGGCTAATAGCAGGTATGTATGTCTGCTGCCCAAAGCATGCTCTCTGGGTGGGCAGGAGTGAGACTGGGGCTGGCCATAGAGTTGTGGGCAGTTGTGTCATCTCATTAGCCTGTGCTCTCTCCTTGGTCTGCACAGCAGGTGGGAGGGTCCTCCCCTAGGAAGGAGTGAGGAGGAAATGAAGGCTCATGGTGGATGTATTCAGTGCCCCTCTCCTGAGGAATGGTTGGAGGAGGTGGAAGGCCAGCAGTGTCATGGTTCATGTTTCTAGTAGGAGTGAAACGGGGTGTACTGTTGTGAGAGCTGTGTTGTTAAAACTGTGTAAGGTGAGGCTTAGTGGCTCAGAAGCTCAGGGCCCTAGCTAGGTAAGGGTGGGAATCTGGCTCTTGTGGTGTTGGAAGCTCCACCCTTTCTCTTGTTGGTGGGAGACCAGGAGGTTGTTGGGCAGCTTCTCTTTTGGGTCTGCAAGGTTCAAGGATGGATGGCGTTATGCCAGGCCAGGCACTGGGGGAGCAACCTTCACGGACGGGTCTGCCCAGAGTGCGACAGAGGGCAAGGCCGTGTGAAGAATGTGTGGCTGTCCCCTGGTCTAGAGCTTCAGACCACACATCTGAGCCGGGTGGTGGCTAGGGGCTCTGGGAACTGCTCTGAGGTACTGAGGCCTTTCTGCTGTGCATAGTCAGGCACCTTGCCCAGGCCCAGCCAGAGGGTTGCTTCATTTGTGCCCATATGGGCTGCAGCTAGGTGGGACTCATGTGTGGTGGTTTCTTTGATCTCTGAGGCCCCCCTTGAAGAGTGCTGGGAGGTGCTGGTGGAACAGACTGGGAGAGGAAACAGATTGGTATTATATCTCAGCCACCCTTGTGGCTGTGGCCAGGTGACCAGGCCCAGCCACTGCCTTGCAATTGGATGTTACTCTTTGAGCTCCAACTCTAGCACAGTTTGGAGACTCAAAGATGACATTGTAGACCAGAGTATTTGATCTGGGGTCAGGGACTTCATCAGGTCAGCAGCTAACGGCAAGGGAGGTAGCTGCCCTTGTTGGGGGCAGATGTCCTTCCTTTGCCATCAGACAATGGCATGTGCTATGCCAGAAGGAACCTCCTTGCTGTGAGTCCCTCTCAGGAAGTTCTTTCTGCTATCTGACCTTGATTTTGGCTCCAGGTCAGCTGCTTCCTTCTGGCTTTGACAAATCTGTCTGAAGACAGCTGCTGTCTTCAGTTGCTTGGCCTGCCTCCTATTCATTTTTGTTCCTGGAGGGTGGCTTTGCTTTAACCATGATGGTAGCTTCCTCTGTTCCAGGGAACTTGGAGAAGGAGCCTTGGAGTATCTCTCAGGCTGGGGATGGTGCATAGGCCTGGTGGCAGTTCCTCCTCAGGGATGCTCCTTCCAATAGCCCTGTGCAAGGGCTCATCTGGCCTGAGGATGGGGAAGGGGTGGACATACTGGACCCTGCCCTGGTCTTGGGTCCTTTGGGATTATGGATCCACCTGCTTTCTCAGCCTGGCTGCAGAGGCAAGGGGAACACTGTGGCAGCTGGGTGATGTTTCTGAGTGGGGATGGCAGGGCCTTGAAAGGGACCCTGGAGCTTGGAAGGGGCTTGGAAGGACCCTGGCTTGCCTCTGGATCTGTGCCCTTATCCCCTGGGATCTGGGTGAGGAAGAGTGGTTACACAAAGCTCCTGGTGAGCCTGTTGGTAGCTGCCTGCCATTTGTCTCTGCAGCCTTCCTGGAGAAAAGAAGAGCGGCCCTTCAGTTGCCACTACCACCAAGAACCACCTCAGCCTTCGGCGAAGACAGGCCCTCCGGGGGAAGAACATTCCTGTTCTGAAGAAGACCCCCAACAAGGGCCTAATGCAGGTCACAAGGCACCGGCTGTGCCGCCTGATGCCAAACCGGGCCCACTTCCCCACCAAGGAAGGTACGCCAGGGAGGAGGGACTCGAAATGGGCTGAGCACAGCTACAAGCTGCGCCTCTCCCTGGTCCATTAGGAATCCTATTTGTCATCCTCCCACCTATGCTGTCAGAGGCCCCTGGCCCTGAGTGATCTCTGCCTGATTGGGCAGTGAGCAGCCAGGCTAATGGATGGAGAGGGACTGCTGTGCCCTGTAGTTTGGGTAGGAGACAGGCATCTGGGCAGGAGTATGGTGGCCTTTTCTGCCCACTCCTTAGTGTGTGTCCACATCCCTCCTGGGGGAAGTAAGGTTGATGGCCGCTCAGACCTTGTACTACTAGGGCTTCTAGCCTCTGCCTCCCCTGAGGGCCTTTGTCCTTAGCCTGGGGCCAACAGGGCAGCCCCTCCTGTCCTGAGCCAGCCTAGGAGGGCTCAGTTGTTCTCACTTTCTGAGTCACGTGGAGCTGGGAGCCATTGGAAACCTATGTGAGCCTGAGAGGCCCTTGTGGTGACCAGATGGTCCCTGATTTGTGAGTAATGAATGGGGCATGGTCCCTTTCAGGACAGCCTTGTCCTCCATTGGGAGATGATAGTATCAGGACACAGTGAGGGAGCCAACCCCCAGCTGGCATACTTGGGGATCTGTGTGATGGATCTGGAGGCCTTGGGATGGTACTCACCTGGTGTTGCCATGGAGAGCAGGATTTGCCTGGGGGCATCTAGTTCTGTGGCTTGCTCTGGGCAAGTATGGTCAGATGTGTGTGAAGTCTGGAAAGGTTAAAGTGCCAGCAGCACTGGACCTGGGCAGTCTGAGTTGGCACTGGTCCTTGTGACCAAGAGTTGGGGATGGCACTGGGGGAACATCTTGGCTGCCCAGGAAAGTTCTGGAGAAGGTTCTAGAAGAAGTGGTACCAAGAGCCTGTGTGGGACGGATCTTGAGAGGGGGATCTAGGGCCCAGGCATAGGGATGAAAGGGTCTTGTGCTGTTGGAGCCAAGGACATGAAGAAGTGGGGTGGAAGGATGCTGGCCTCCTGGCTTTCTTGTGTTGCTGACTTTTGCCCTGTGTTGGGGCCAGTGTGGATCTTCCTAGGTGACAAGGGAGCTGAGGAGGTTTCTGGTGGCTGCAGTGAGGTGCTGGATGGGAATGTGGAGAAGGGATGAGAATGTACCCTCTGGCCTGTAAGGAGGACTATTGAGGGGCTCTGAGCTTTGATGGAGGTGGAGGGCCAGCAGTATGGTAGTGGGGCAGGGTGGAAGTGCTGCAGGGATCCTTCAGGGTCAGCCCCACTTGGTTGTGCCTGTGACCAACCTATTTCCTCTTCAGGCTGTTTCCTCTTTAGGCCTAGGGCAGAGTGGGGTGTAGGCTGGGAAACAGTAAAGGCTGCCCTCTACCAGCGGGGGCTGGAATAGCACCCCTGAACCCCCAAGGGAGCAGCCAGGCAGGGAGGAGTGCGGGGTCACCAGGTCTACCTGCTGAGTGGTATGTAGGTTTGGGTTGGGTACTATAGGGGATGAAGGGAACTGCAGCTGCTATCTCCACTAGGGTTGGGGAAATGCATACTCTTGCATGCAGAGGTTTGAGAGGCTGAGCCTACATCCTGGTATGGCTACCTGGGCAGGTGTCCCAGAGACTGCCAAGCAGGCATAGGCCACTGGGGTGGGCTGGCTGCAGGAGGAGAGGGTCCGCCCAGGGCATCAGGTGAGAAGATGAATAAGGATAAGCATCTCCCCGGCCTGAGGCTTGGGTGGAGCCTGGTTCATCCCAGGAAGTGGGCATGTGGCTTCCTCAGGCTCCCTCCTGCAAAGCCCACTATCTGCCTCCTTGCCTTCCCAGGGACTATGGCTTAAGTCAGCATGGTGGTGCATGTCTGTAATCCCAGGATTCTAGGAGCCTGAGGGAAGAGGATCCTGAGTTTGAGTTTGAGGCATGGGGAGCATAGTGAGATCCTATCTCAAAAATAAACAAACAAAAACAGGGTCTGGTTCAATCATTAATAGGACAGGGTGCGTGGGTGGGAATGACAGCCCTGGCCAGGGCTGCCTTGGGTCCTCCAGGTGGGGATGTTGGCACATGTTGAGGTAGAGCCCTTCTGCTCCAGGTGTGGAACCCCAGTTCCTGTGGCCACTAGACTGCAGGGCCTCCCTTGAGGCAGGAGCTGGCTCTTCATCTGGCTGCTTGAAGTCTTCTCTTTCCTTGTTTTCCTTCTAGCAGATGCTCAGCTCCAGCTCTCTTCTTCCAGAGGCAGTCCCTGGGGTCTAGAAAGGAACCTGACCTCCCAGTGGGCTCCTGTACCAAGGAGGGAGGGAGAGGCCTTAGGCAGCTGCCCCACAGCCCTGTCTGAGGTCCCAGTTCAGCCCTGCCATGTGGCCTGGGGGCCGGCAGAGGGCGTACTTGCCCCTCTTATCCCTCAGTCCACCTTTTTCTGGTAATTGATTGCCTAATTTCCTCTTTATGTGAAAGAAAGCAGATATCAAGTAATTTGCAGCAATAACCTGCTAATGCTGGGCCAGTATCAAAACTCCCCTGTTCATTTCTAGTGGCAGATAAAACACTAATACATAATTATCCTTGCAAATTGGATTGTTTTAAATAACCAAAAGGCTACGGCCAGGAGAAAGCGATCCCATCTCCCTCGAGTTACTCTTGCAGTGTAATTGCTGCGTTCAATCAATTTCCCTGGCATTAGAAATTCCATCACAATCAACATTAAGCTTTATTCATTGTGATGGCTAAGAGCCGGGCCATTTCTCCTCTTTTTCTTAACTGGCAAAATTAATCAGGGAAAAGATTTTAAACATTTACCCGTGCGAAAGAGGTCAGCCCTGCCACTATATTGCTCAGCAGATAAGGGGGCTAATAAAAAGAAAATTGAATTACTAATGATCACCAGGAACAGAGTATATAAAACCTGGCAATCGCCAGTTCAGGAGAAGGGAGAATCAATTTTCTTGGGACAAGGTGTGCTCATTTTTTATTTTAGCGCATATTATCAGCAATTTAATTTGAGAGCGCATAAACAGGAGGAAACAGTTAGGGAATAATGAGCCTGGAGGTGTAAAGTGCCGCAGGATATATGCTATACACAATTTATTTGGCACAACAGATAATCGCTTTAATTGAATTCAAAACTGCATTGTTCAGCAGCGTTGGGCTGCTTAGCCTGGGGACTGAGTGTCAGGAAGGTTCCAGGCTGACTGCCTCCCCTCCCATCCCTGCCTCCTTAGCCCTACCGAGAGTTCTTTGGCTTGGAGTTAGACTCTGGCTGGGTGTCGAGCGGGGGTGCTTGGAGGCCCCTTCTTATTGATAGTGTATCTCTTGCCTTCTGTCTTTCCGTTCCTTTTCTCTTGAGGATGGGGAATTGAGGTTTGAGATGCTCTCAGAGAGGTCCAGGAGAGTTAGGTGAGCTGGTCTGCAGCAGAGACTTGACTGCTCTCTTTCTCACAGAATGCACTAGGGAAGGCATTTGAGCAGAGGAGGCAAAACCTTTAGGGATCTCAGAGCTGGTGTCCATTTGCTACACCTGTAACTGAAGCAATTAGTAATCATGGTATAGCTGGTCTGGGCTCTGGTTGTGGTTGTGGTGGGGGGTGTGGGCTCTGAGGCTCATTCTCCTGAGGACATGGCCAGGGCCCAGTGTTGTGACTGGGCAACTGCCCACCAGGCTCCTTCTCTCCTTGATCAGGCCCTGCCCACTCTGGCTAGGCCCTGCTTCCTTACAAAAATTCTGTGGCTACTATTCACTCATTCATTCATTCATTCATTTATTTTTCAATATTGCTTTGTTTCTTTTGCGGGAGAAACCCAAAGGGTAAATAAGGAGTATAATGGAGGATGGATATTGGGAAGTAGGAAGAACACATTCAAATGGGAAAGGGAACAAGGAAGGGGGGAAGTGAAAGATCACTTTTTGGCTACCAGTTATTGATTGATTGATTAATTGATACTGGGGATGAGTCTTCACACTGGGCTATAATCCCAGCAGCCCTTGTTATTCTTTTATTTTTTTGGTACCGGGGATCGAACTCAGGATCTTGCGCTTTCGAGGCAGGCTGCGGCACCACTGAGCTAAATCCCTGGCCCTAGCCCTTTTTATTTTTTATTTTGAGACAAGCTGTTGCTGAGTTACCCAGGTGGGGCTCAAACTTGGGATCCTCTTGCCTCAGCCTCCCAGAGTGCTGAGATTACAGGGATGTGCCACTATGCTGGGTTGTTGGCCTATTTTTGCACGGACCACTCTTTCCTCAGATATCTAGGGATCACTTCTTTCATTCAGACTTGTGCTGGGTGTTAGTGGTTAACCTCCCCAGCCCACTCTTCTCATGTCACTCCCTGGCTGCCCAGCCACCTTGAGCTTCCTGCATTTTACCAGCTGCCGTGAGTAGTGCTCATGCTTCCCCATCAGAAAGGTGCTCTGCCTAATCCTGGCACTTTTGTGGGAGCCTCCTGGGGCAGGGCAGAAGGAAGAGCCTTCCTTCCTTGTAGAGGACTTTGGCAGCAGGTGACCACATAGGTGTGGGGGTGTCTGCTGCAGAGTGCTGGGCAAAGCTGGTACTCTGTAATTCCATCAGCACATATGTGGGAAGCCCTATTGACCTCCCAGGCTGGCAGTGCCTGGCCAGTGTGTGGCAGGAAGCATGCCCTGTGGTGTGACCTGAGGGCTTTTGAGAGTGGTGCTGCTGGGTGGGTGTGGACATCAGGCCCTCATCCAGCCCAGGTTGGCTAGAGTGTTGTCACAGTCATCTAGCAACCGAGGGGGCAAGGGCTTGCAAAGAATTGGACCCTGCTCCTGCCCTCTGTGAGGTATGCCCCACAGTTGGGGGCTGGCAGCAGTGTGCTCAGAGGTCAGTGGGCAGGGGGAGTAGAACACCCCTGCCACCTTGTACCCTGGTCCTCTGCATGGTGTGGGATTTCTCAATACCTGTGTCACGGAGGGTATTTGCGATAGTTAGGAGCTAGGAGCAGAGGGTCACCAGCTGAAGGCACTGCAAGCTAGTTTTATGCACAGTGACACCCTGACCTGTAGC